CGTCTCCCTTAGTCTGGGGCTTTGCCCCCCCACACCAGACACTCCCTGCATCGCACCTCAATCTAGAGGAACATGTAAAGCAATTGTGATGAAGATAATTAATCTAAATTGCTTGGCTTTAGTACATTATTTCTGAACATGTGTTTTAAAATTTAAAAGACTAGATATTTATAATCTGTGACTTGTTTCAGCTGGCGCAGAATACTGTGGCAAACGGGTTTCGTGCAGGAATAACCAAACCAATGTTTTTAGGGAGCATTCTTTTCTGAGCTCAAATATGTAACTTCATTTGGAGCTTGATGTGGAATTCAAGTTGGCAGCTCTCAAATTTGTGACATTCACTATTTAACCTGTAAAATATTACAATCACAATTACAGCATAAATTGAATATTCCATGTCAACTGTGGGCAAGTATGCTGGTGTCAATGCATTTTACCAATTGGGGGAAGTGTTTTGACCATGTAGGTCATGTAGATACTGTATATGCACACATACTGTACTGTACTGTACTGTATGTAAAGCACATGCTCTTCTTTCTTTTGTGTAACTGCAGTCAGAAAATCTCTGGACGAAGCTGTCAAATCTTATGATTCTGATTTCCGTGGCTGGGAGCTGCCAGGCTTCATTGACTACAGTGTGTTTGAGAAGCTTATATGTAACCAGATTAAAGAACTGGAGAGTCCAGCAGAGGAGAAGATGGAAAATATCAAAGGTAACATACAATACAGACATACCTGTATGAGAAAAACACCACACTCAAGCAAGAGATTAAAATATATATATATATAATGGAAGATAGTGTCAATAGATGCTGTATGTTTATTTTTTCAAATTGTAAACTCTTGTATTACAATCATAACAGCTTTTGATACTTGCAATCCTGCAAGTTTCCAAGTTCCCATTTTGATTAATTTCGCACTCAGAAATTGTTTTGCCATTTGTGGACTGTCTTAGTGACCTAAGAAAAAACTCTAGACCTTTGTAAAGAGATCCATCCATAAATTTTCTAATCACCTTATCCAATTCAGTGTCACAAGGGAGCCAGAGCCTATCCCATCAAACAATGGTTGCAAGGCAGGATTGTGGATGAAACGCCAGTCCATTGCAGGGAACATACTGTATTTTCACAAACAGACAGACACACGTACACCAGGACCACTTTTCTTTGAAAAGTTAATTAACCTAAACAGGATGTCTTCGGACTGTGAGAGGAAACTGAAGCACCCTAAGGAAACCCATACAAACACAGGGAGAACATACAAACTCTACACA